GTTTGGGGGCTCTTGGGCCGTCTCGGGCCGTCGGAAGGCCGAAACTCAGCAATTGCCACCATCTTTCAACAACATGAGGACCACCAATCACTCTGGCCTCGTCTGGCCTTCCTGGCAGCCCTCTTAGAGGCCTCTCGGGCCATCTTCGAGACCTCTTGGGGGCCCCTTGGGCCATTTGGGGCCATCTTGGAGCTTTTTTGGGCAGTCTTGATGGGCTCCTGGCCCGTCTGACACCGTCGGACGCCGATTTCGGGGCCTCTCTGGGCCGACTTGGGGCCCTCTTGGGGTGCTCTAGGGCCGTCTTGGAGGCCATCTTGGGCGTCTCGGAGGCTTGCTCCTCCTCCTGCTCCTCCTCCGCCTCGGTCTCCGCCTCCTCCTTCTCCTCCTCCCCCTCCTCCTCTTCCTCCTCCTTCTCCTCCTCGGGGATCCCAGAGAGTATCTCCTTCCTCGATCCAGACTACGACTCCGTCTACCTCCGCGCCCCCGACCCAGAGGAGGCCTGAGCCCCCAGTGAGCCCCAGTGAGCCCCAGAGAATCTAGAGCAGGTCAGTATAACCTCCCCCCTCGTCTGAGACTCCCCTCCCTCTTTCGACTATCCTGAACCTCCTGGGCCTTCAGCGCTGAGCCCCCCGCAAACTTTTTGGCGTCCCGCTAGTAGTGTGGGGTGCGGGGCCTTGGCGCCCTGGTTTTAGTGGTTCCTCGGGCGTCCTGGCCTTTTCCTCGCGGCTCCAGCGAGCATGCTTCCTCGGGCGTCCTTGGGACCTGTGAGGTGTCTTTCTTGTGTTTCTTTTTTTCCCGCGTTTACAGCCCCGCCCCTTCGGCCTGCCGGTCTTTAAAACGTGGCAATTCAGCCGTTGAAGGGGGTGGGTGGGAGCTTTGGTGCCTTCGAGGCCACGCGCGGCCTGGGTTTTCGAGCCGCGGCGCACTCTAGAGAGGAGACCAGCGAAGGCCAGCGCTCCGAACCGTTGCTAGATGTTGGCACCTCTCTGTAGAGCTTCACACACGCACACACACTCCTTCTCCTCCTCCTCCTGATCCTCCTGATCCTCCTCCTCCCCCTCCTGCTCCTCCTCCTCCTCCTCCTCCTCCTCCTCCTCCTCATTCTCCTCCTCCTCCCCTCTCTTCCTCTCATCCTCCTCCTCCTCCTCCTCCTCCTCCTCCTGGCCTTCCATGCCCCGCGCCCGCCGCCGACCCAGGGCGCCCTCGGGCACGTGGCGCACGACCAGGACTTCTTCCAGCACAGCGCCAACCGCCTGGAGGCCCAGGAGTTCATCGACGTGTCCGCGAGGCTCTAGTCAGGAGGCTGACGCCATTCTCCCCGAGGGTTCGACGACTTTCCGCCAATCGCCCGGTGGTCGAGGTAGGTCTGGGTAAGTCCAGGTAGATCCAGAGATCCCCGTCGGAGTTTCCTGGGCGCCTGCTGGCTGCTTCTGGGACGCCCTCGCGCGCATGGGATGCCCTGACGTGTCCAAGTGCGTGGGAGGAGGCTGCATGTACCACGGGAGCCTCCCTGGCGAGTCCGGCGCGCGGGCGCCGCCTTCAGAGGATCACTGAGCGCGCTCCGTGGCTCGCAGAGTGCCTGCTCGCAAGCGTCAACAAAAACACGCGTTCGCCTCGGTGTGGTAGATGCTCCTCCCCTCCTCCTCCTCCTCCACCTCCTCCTCCTCCTCCACCTCCTCCTCCTCCTCCTCCTCGTAATCCCCCCGCGTCGGATCCAGGCCATTTGCCAGCATTTGCTTTGCGAGCAGTGGACCGCGCTTGGCAAGCGGAGGACGTGGTGCCGATGCTGCTGCCTTTGCCTCGTTGTCACTCTTGGTGGGCCTCCTGGGAGGTCCTCGCCGCCACCGTTGGAGTCGCCTCAGAATTCTGGTTCGAGCGCACCCTCGGAGAGGGAGTAAAGCGGTATCTGTACTCTTTTGGTTTCCCCCAGCCTCGCGCTCCCCGTCGCAGCGGGCATGTCGGGTCGGGCGGGCGATCTCCAAAGGGCGGGCCAGGTCGGGTGGGTGGGTCATTAAAGCATGGTGCATCATCGAGTTGGCACGCGTGTCGATTCGGGCAGGCGGGCTATATGAGCAGGCTGCATCATAGAGTCGGCATTCGTGTCGGGCGGGCGGGCCGGGTCGGGCGGGCGGACCGGGGTTGGAGCAGGAAGTTCGCTAGACCATTCACGCCCTACAGGGCTGGTGGGATTACGAGCAATACGCACATGCACGTAATACACGTATACCCGTCGGTCGTTGAAGCCAAGTATTTTTGGATTTTCGGATCCCAAACTACTTTCGGCGCCTTCCTACTTCAACGATCGAGTGGTTTCGCCTTTTCCTTCCTCAGAGGGCGGGCGAAAGCCCAATCTACTTCCAACGCTTTCCTACTTCATGGGCCTACCCATTTGTTCAGACCGACGTATATCCTTCAGCCAGGCTGCAGAGATCCTTTGCGGATTGCAATCCCGCGTTGCTTCGCTCACCACTTTTCCCACATGCGAAAAAACACGCCACCGGGGGCCCTGGGCCTTCACCCCCCCCCGCCAGGGGCGGCCAGACCGTACTAATTACACGGGTCGCTGGATCACGAAATGTGTGGCTGGGCCATGTGTCCGCTTACCACGCCGATTGCAGGCAGCACGTAGACGCGCTGCACACGCCAGTGACATGCGGCAAGACGTGCACAACTGTGCTGCCAAGCCGTCCTATCGACTTACTTGGTTATATGCAGGAGAGGGCGCAAGCGACAACATGTGGAATCGCGTATCACATGTCACATGAATAGCAGACGCTTGGTGTGTAAGCTGTACAACGGATTAGACCACCTCGCGCGCTTACACCTAAGTCGTTGGCACGTCCTGCATTATGTATGTTTGTGCCCCCTTCCAATCGAAAACACACCAGAACACTCATCGTGTATAGAGTTACGCTGGCCACAATCATATCAATTGTACATGTTTTCGACAAACAGTAGGTTTGGTATATATGTATATATATATATATATGAATCAAAGCGGGCCCGTTCGCGCTCTTCGTTTCGGCATCCTGTGCGTAAACTCGTAGGGAACAGTTCAACACCGTGAAATTAAAATGTGCTGGGTTTCTCTGGGCGTTCTTTGTCCGTCCGCCTCGGCCCATGCCCGAGCTGTGCGGTGTCCTTCCTCCTCTTCCTCCCTCGGCTTCCCTCGCTTCCTCCTCTTCCTCCTCCTCCTCTTCCTGCTTCTCCTCCTCCTCCTCCTCCTGGCCTCTCTCCGCGTACGGCGCGGGCGCGCGCGCGCGCGTCTAACGGCGGAGTCTGGTGGCTCACACCCCGCGGCCGCGTCCTCGCTCCGTGTGCTCTCACCGCGCGTTGTGCGCAGTGATCGTTTGCCCCACCGTGTATCATCGTCGCCCCCCCCAAAAACACCATTATTAGAGTTTGAATGCTTGAGAACTTAACAGCGGCAGCAGCAGCAGCCAATCTCGATTAAGGGGGAAATCATCGCGGCTAGAACAACGGAATATTGCAAGCGTATGAAATTGGGCGATCTCTGACATTCAACCGCATGTGTTTGGAATTTTGTATAACTTTGCATTTGCGACTCCCTCCCCCGGTCCCCCGAGGCCTCACTGGAGCCCTCCCCCCAGGAGACTCCCGGAACTCCCCAGAGGCGCCAAGGCAGAGACGGTCCCAGATGGCCTCCGGATGGTCCCATCTGTCTTCCACAGCGCCATGATGGCTCATGACGGCCTCAAGATTCCCCAAAGGCCCCCCTACGGCCCAGAGGCCTCCATGATGCGTTCCAGGAGGAGCACACGAAGCGTCATTTGTTGATGTTCCAGTGGTTATGCAGGATTTCAGCGCTGTCGCCGTCTCGGGCTTCGGGCAGCCCCTGACGGCCCAAGGGGCGCTTTCAAGAACGCCTAAAGACTGCGCAAAAGGGTTTCAACATGGTCCCAAGGCAGTCCCAATCGTGCCCAAAGCGCCCCAAGTATGGCCCCACGACGGACCCATACGGTCTCAATGCAGCGCCAGACGGGTTCATGACGGTCCCAGATGGCTTCAAGACGGCGCAAGACGGCCTAAGATGGCACCGGGACGGTCTTCGTTGGTTTCAATATGGCTCCAGAGTGCTCCGAGAGATTATCCTGGAGGGTCCTGGGAAGTTGTGCGTGTGTGTTTGAAGGTTTGGGCGATCCTGCAATTTCAGGCTCCTCGCAGCCCCAGACTGAGAGGACTCCCAGAAAGGATTTCTGTCGTCTCGCAGTCTCGAGCCGTGGGCCGCCGAAGAGGTCACCCAGAGGACCCGACGACGGCCTGAGATGCCCTCAGTGCGGCTCTGAGAGCCCACCCTCCGCGTACCGTTTTTTACACGGGATTCCCGGGAAACGGGTTTTCGCTTGGGAGGTATTCAAAATGTTGTTCCCGCTGAAGCGCTGGCCTCATTTTCGGGATACTGCTCGTTCCGAATCGTGCTCCCGCTGCAGCGCTGGCCTCATTGCCGCAATTCCACTCGTTCTGAATCGTGCTCCCGTCGAAGCGCTGGCGTCATCATTTCCAGCGCCATGCCGCGGCATGGTTTTCGGTCCTGCCAAATAGGCCCAAAAGTCTAGAAATTGTCTTCCGGAAGAACCATCGGACGTGATTCCACATTCGGTGTCGATCCGTTGATTTTTCTGGTCCGCAGCCCCCCCCCACTTCGGGGCGTCGCCACGCCATGGTATGTCAGGTTACGTGTCGATCTCCAGCACCATGCTATGCTATGTAATGCTATGCCATGCTGCAGCATCCGACTGTGCGAATAGAAAGGAGATCTACGCCATGGTAAAGGATGGGAGGGAGGGGCACGATGTCAGAAATGACGCGAGCGGACCTAGTTTGTCCCCCTCCTCCCCCTTCCCCTCGCCCTCCTCCTCCTGCTCCTCCTGCTCCTCCTCCTCCTCCTCCTCCTCCTCCTCCTCCTCCTCCTCCTCCTCCTCCTCCTCCCCCTCCTCCCTCCGTGCCCGACCGCTCCCCAAGAAAAGGGGGCCCGCGGGCATCGTCATCATGTCGTTTGTGGGCGAGCTGCTGCTGAACCTCTTCGGCCCCGCCCTGCTGAAGGCGGCCCACGCACCCAGGCCTAGCGGCGCGCCCGTGCCTGCTCGGCCGGCCCCTGCCACGATTACAGTCCTCCTTCTCCTCCTCCTCCGCTCCTCCTCCTCCTCCTCCTCCTCCTCCTCCTCCTCCTCCCCTCCTCCCTCCTCCCTCCTCCCTCCTCCCTCCTCCCCTCCTCCTCCTCCTTCTCATCCTCCTCCTCCTCCACATTTGCACACTATGAATAATATTGTCCTCTCTCCCGTGATGACGTCCAGAAGATATCGAGCACCCCTTTGCGTTTCTCTTTTACACGCACAGGATTCCTGGGAAAAATGGGTTTTCGCTTGGGTTTGTCTTCAAACATGTTGTTCCCGCTGAAGCGTTGGCCTGATTTTCGGGGTACCGCTCGTTCCGAATCGTGCTCCCGCTGCAGCGCTGGCCTCATTTCCGCGCTTCCGCTCGCTCCGAATCGTGCTCCCGCTGCAGCGTTGGCGTCATCATTTCCAGTGCCATGCCACAGCATGGTCTTCGATCCTTCCTAATAGGCCCCAAAATTAAAAGAATGCTACCCGAAAAACATCAGAAGTGATTCCACATTCGGTGTCGAGTCGTCGATTTTTTGGGCCGCAGAACCCTCCCTACTTCGGGGCGTCGCCACGCCATGCTATGTCATGCTACTCGTTGATCTTCAACACCACCCTACGCCATGTAATGCTATGCCGTGCTACGACATCCGACTGTGCGAATAGAGAGGAGATCCACGCCATGGTAAGGAATGGAAGGGAGGGGTAGGACGTCAGATATGACGCGAGCGCATCTAGCTTGTCCCGCTCCCTCCTCCTGCTCCTCCTCCTCCTGCTCCTCCTCCTCCTCCTCCTCATCCTCCTCCCGTTTCCTCCTCCTCCTGTTCTTCGTCCTCCTCCTCCTCCTCCTCCTCCTCCTCCCCCCTTTACCATACCAGCCGCGTGCACCAACCGATGCCATCAAACATGGACGAGGAGTCGACCGCAGCACCGCCGTCGTGGTTTAAGGGACTGACGGAGGTGTCGGCCCCAGACGCCGCCGCCAAGAAGAAGGCCAGGGGAGCGGGCACGGACAAGGACGCAGGCACAGGCAGGATGATGCACATCATGGCCCGCCTGGTCCTCCGCAGTTCGCGCGAGGTCGCCGAGGTGTGCGCCGCGACGTATTTGAAGTACGAGGCCGAGTCTGGCCAGGGGCTGGTGGCAGTGTGTGTTCAGGCCGGCAAGGCCTACGAAGAGGATTCCAAGGCGCTGCGCACCAAGTCGCAGAAGAGCGATACGGTGAACCATCATGCACGTGGCCCTCCACACCTCCCGACCCTGATGGCAGCGTGCCACTACGGCGCCACGAAGACGATCCCCGAATGCGACAACGAGACCAATAAGAAGGAGCTCCAGGTGCTGAAGACGCAGATGCACGACCCCTGGGAGGAGAAGCTGCACACGGTCAACCAGACCGACCTGCACCGCGCCGTTCCGTACTTTAGGGTGCGCCCGCACAGGAAGAAGGAGTCCGAGAGCCAGACGGCGACAATCTTGCGCAAGGTCGACACGGGCGTGAAGCTCGGGTTCGTTTTGGACCCTGTCTCTCTTCGAGAAGCTCATTACCCCGAAGGGCGGGGTACCGCTTCTGGGAGCAGCTCCTCGGCGCCCGCTGGAGTGGGGATTGTTGAAGTACGTGGAAGGGGGAGCTTGATCAGTAGTAGGGGCAGAGCAGTTGCAGAGTAGTGTGAGATTGCCCGCGTTAGTCAGTCAGGGTCGCGTCCCTTCAGATGTCCTTGAGAGAAGCGAGAGGCAATTCTCATGGCAAGCCAGTGAGGTCCGACCTGACACCCCACTCTTTGGGTTGCAGCGTAGCAGCGACGTGGCAGAGGTGGAGGCCGTGGAAAGAGGAGGGCGAGAGGTGAGTGAGATTTGACTTCGCTCGTGCTTCTGCATCGGTCCCCGCAGGGGGGCTGCGCGCCCTACAGGGGCCCCGATCGGCCCGTGCTGTCCTGTGCAGTGTGCGACAGCCGCTGTGCAGTTAATTTGGAGTTTCGAGTGGTGTTGGATTGATTGTTTGCAGGGTTCCCCATCAGTGTAGAGGTATCTTGTACAGGCATGCGTGTGTGTAGCCGCAGGGATAACAGGGGCTCCTCGAGCTGGTCCTTGTCTTGGTCTCCTCCTCCTCCTCCTCCTCCTCTTCCTTCTCCCCCCCCGTCCTCTTCCCCCTCCTGGGGGCGCGCATTAAGAAACCAGCTGTTCTTCGTCAGGGTGCCCAGCCGTGGTTTCTTCGTTCCGCGCGCTGCGCGGCGACTTTCCGCGGCCGCTGAAGATTTTGGTGCGTTCAGCGTGCCCCTGGATCCCATCCCGCGTGCATCTCGCGCCTGCGGGTTTGAGGGTCTGGTTTCTTGCGAGGGCCTCTTGAGGCCGCGCCCGCGCTGCACCTGTTCCCTTTGCCTCGCCGCGCCCCCCCCCCCCCCATGAAAACAGACCCCTGGCCCTAGTGACGCGATGAAGACGCGGCCTCGCCAAGGTCCCCGTCTCCGCGCTGGGGGCGCTAAGTCTGTGCGGTTTGGCCTGGCACATTTGCACAAAGGACCCCATGTCCTCGAGGTTCTTGGCCCTCGTAACTTAGGTCCCCTCCCAAAGGGTCAGGGATCATTCGACTGCTGGTCGCTCCACCCACATCCTTTTATTGCCGGTCACCTCCTCCGCGGTGGCCAAACCCTCCCATCCGCGCCCGGGCGGCGCGGCGCGCCCCGGAAGGCCCCGCGCCCCGCGCGCCTCGCTCTCATCGGGGGGGCCGCAGCAGCTGGCAAGAGCAATGCGGCCGCGGCCCCTCCGGCGGAAGCTCGGCCCCAGGCAGCCGAAGTAAACGCGGGGCGTCAACAGTGCTGGGCCCATGGAGTCCGGGGTTTCCTGATTTTTCAATCCCTTGATACTGCCCAGTTCCTTTGCCGCCTCCCCCGCGCATTGCCGTCGCGCGCTGGGCGCCAAGTCTCAATTGTGATAGCGCGTGTTTCGATTGGAGCATCTTTGAACCGTTCAAAGCTGGCGCCCCCGCTGCAACGCCGGCCACGCATGCGTGATCGGCATGTCGATTCCGTTGTTCAGACTGGCGCTCGCGCCCCAGAGCGGGCCGCGCTTTTGGATCCGAATCGCGCCGAGGGGGGTCCCATATGCCCGCTTCCCTCACCGCGCGTTGCTGCTCCTCCTGCTTCTCCTTTCGCTCGTGCTCCCCCCCCCCCCCTTCTCCTTCTCCCTTCCTTCTTTCAAGAACCGTTTGGCTTCGCCGCCCCCGCGCGGGGTCGACGGGCTGCGCCGAGCTTCCGGGAGGCGATCTCGGGTCGCGCAGCGATGGGCGGCCGGGGCCGCCCCCCACTGGCGTGCGCTGATTCGGCGCAGGAAGGAGGATGGAGAAGCAAAGCAGAGGCTGAAGATGGGCAGGTCAGCATCTCGTCGGCCGAACAGTCGGGCGCGCTTCGCTAGTCAACAGCAGCAGCTTCAGCAGCAGCAGCAGCAGCCGGACCAGCAGCCCAAGAGCCACGATTGGACCAGGTGCCAGTGCTGCAAGAAACGCAATTGGAACGCCCGCCGGGCTCAGGGAGACTGGAGCTGCGCACGCGGGCAATGGGTCGAGCAGTTCGTTCCTCGACGGCGGCGAGAACCGGCTAGCGGCAGTTCCAATGTGGTGCTCAAACAAGGGGGCGACGGCGAGCTGGTCATCGAGGTCGGCGACTTCCCGCTCGCGGAGGAGGAGGGCGGATGGCAGCCGACCTCCTCGCCGAGAGGAGCCGGCAGCAGAGCAAGGCGGCGCCCGCGACGGCGGAGGGCGAGTTCAGGAAGACCGCGGGCGCGTGCCGCGACCTCGCGAGGCGCCGCAACGCGGCGGTCGAGGCGGTCGCGAGGTGCGAGGTGGCCTCGGGCGCTGCGCGGGAGCGCGCGCGCGGCCTCGCAGTCGAGCCGGCCGACGCGACGGAGTGCGAGCAGAGGGCAGCAGCGGCCATAGCGGCCGACCGCTAAGCGGAGGAATGGCCCGTGCCCATGTCAGACGCGGCCGACTCGCAGGCCCTTTTTAAGTTGTCGCGGGGCGAGGCCATCTTCCAGAATACGAACGAGCTGAGCGACGAGAAGCAACGCAAACTTGCAAACTTTCGCAAGTTCCTCGTTGCTGAGCAGGTCAGGTTGCGGTCCATCTCGAGCGCGGCGCAGGAGAAGCTCGCCTCCGCCAGGGCCCTCGCCAAGTAGCAGTTCGAGAGGGCCACGAAGAAGAGACGGACTCAGGGCGGCCGCGCAGCTCCGCAGGCAGCGGCCTCGGCGCCAGACCCAACGGACAGCGCGGCGACTGCGGGGCGGGGTCGGGCCCAGGCGAACACAGGCAGCGGCCGGGGGCACCCCTCCCCCCGGAGGGGTGCGCAGTAGGGGGCGGCGGCGGAGACCGATTCGCTCGAGGATCCGGCTTCGGAGCCTGGGCCCCCCCCCCAGCGCCCAGGCCGAGGCTGGGCGGCTCAGTCAGGTCAAGCTCCAAGCAGCCAGAGCTGCGGCGGCAGCCAAGCCAGCGGCCAGGGCGCAGGCCCAGGCAGCGACCACCAACGCGGGCAGCGCCAGGCTGCGGCTGGAGCAGCTGGCGAGGCAGCGGCTGTCTCCTCTTGATTAGGGACTGGTCGCAGTCCCCAGCCGCCCGGGTCAGGGGCGCCATCCTCCTCTGACGCAGCAGTAGCGCGTTGTCTGGGTAACGAGCTAGTGCCAAGGGTGAAGAGGGCTTCCTTCTCGAGCATTAATTGCAGGGGCCCGCGAGCGTGGGGCTGCGTCATTCAGCTTGGCGACAATATTGATGTTCTGGGGTTCGTCGAGACACATGTGCTGCGCGCCGAAGATGTTGCGAAGCGGGATAAGTGCGCGCAGAAGGCAGGTGGGGGGGTCATGTCGACTGCTGCGCGCCCTCGAGCATTATGCGGTGCCGGGGGCAATGCGGTAGGCGAATATATTGTCGATGTCGGCCCCAGATGCGCGCGCGCACGCTGGCGGCAGCAGCAGCCCCTCCCAAGAGCTTTCGGAATTCTGGCGCGGCGAAGCTAGACGGCTTCCTCGCCTCAGTGGTGCACCACAAAGGGTGCAGTGTCGTCCTCGTCGTGTTCTACGGGTACTCAGGCGAAGCTTGGAGAGATGCCGAGATGCCAATCTTGGGCGCTTTTCACGCCTGTGGGCTTTCCTGGGGGCGCTGGACCTGCCGTGGCTTGCCCTGGGCGATGTCAAAATGGAAGGCGAAGTGTTGCGCAGCAAAGGTTTCCTTCAGCTGGTCGTGGGGGGGCTTCTTCGGGCAGACGCGACCATCGCGTGCGACGCGGGCGCCTCGGGGCCCCACGTCGACTTTGGCATTTGCTCCGAGGGTTGCGTGCCCTACGTCGCGCTGATGAAGGCCATGCAGAAGGTGCCTGGGAAGCCGCATTGCGGGCTTCTGGTGGTGCTTCGGGGCGAGGCGGGGCAACTGATGGCCAGAGAGTCGAGGCTGGCCTGGGTGCTTCCCCGAGCGCGCAGGCCCCGAGCCACCGTGGTCAGCTGCGGCGGCAGCGGCGGCAAGAATCAGCGGGGGCGGACCGAGCGGCGCGGCGGCACGAAGGTCAGCGAGTTTTTTTTGCAGGAGTTGCCCCCCCAAGTTGGCGAGGGCAGCAGGCGAGCAGCCCGCCGACGACGGAATCTCCATCAACGAGGAAGCTGGCGAGGATCTTGGCAGCGACGACTCCGCGGGAGGACGCGAGTTGCTTGCCGGGCGACGACGGGCGCGAACCTGTGCGCAGCCAGCCAGCCAGCGAGGTTGGTGGGATTCGGTTGGAATGCGGTGCGCCTACCGCGCAGCAGCAGCATCCATCCAAGGTCCTCGGGTATGCCACATCCACAGGCAGCCTCGCGACTTTTGCGCAGTTGCCCAAGTGCGCGAGGAACTTTTTGGGCGCGCGAGGAGCGGTCATCATCTGCAGTAGCCAGGCAGGCTGCGCCAGCTACGCACAGTTCAGCCAGTCAACCCAGTTGGGCCCAAGCAATTTCCACCGAGAACGGCGACGGGGGAGCGCGCGCAGTTCGCCTGAACTTGTGCTGGGAAAGACAGGCCCATCGGGTTGGATGGAACACCGCAGGATCACGGACGCCACGAAGATCATGTCGTCACCTCTGAGAGGCAGGCTCCGGAGGCCTCGGAGATGGCGAAGCAGATCTATTCGCGGACTTGGGTGGCGGCGACACCGACTACAGAAAGGGCCCAGACGGAGTTTCTGTCTTGGAGCGAAGGGCAGGAAGTATGCGGTGCTCATTGGTCGAGCTCGCCCCCGCCAGAGGGTGCCATCTTACCTGTGCCGAACGCACCGGGCAGCATTAGGGAGCGGGCGAGGCCAGCTTCGCCAGATGGTACCAGCCACCCTGCAGCCCTGGAGCAAGAGGCCCAGTGCGTCGGCCCCTGCTTCCAGATTGGCGACACCACTTGGGTTGGGACGCAGCACCTGGGGCAGGCGCATGCACGCGTGCCTGTGGGCGTCATCCAGGACTCGGACGCTTTCCGCGTCGGCGAGAGGCATGCTCAGGAGCTGGGGGA